CATGAATAGACCCTGAAGTGGCCTGCAGCATGCTGCTACATGTAAGCTGTATCCTGTTAGGAACAGCACATTCTGGTCTTCAATATGATTCTGAATGGTATGATTACAGTAAGGCCTTTGTATACTGTATGTGTGTCTGTGTATAAAATGAATGACACGTGTACATGACGCAGTGACTTAGTAACTCAGTAATGCCAGTTGTTCCCAGACTCACACACAATGCCACCCAGCCTGACCAAATATAGCTTAGGAATAAAGAGGTGCAACCCGTAACTAAGAGATAAACAATGGATCAGCAGACAGAATGGCCAGCTACTCCTCTGCACTTCCTGAACAACAATACAATACTTTGGTGTATCCACACCCCACAAGGCCCGGAGCTAACGGCAGAGAAAACTGCTGCACTTACTTCCCGTGTCGTAGCTGCTTCCTGTTAAAAAGGGTTCCGGATGATAGGAACTTCCTGTCTAAAGTTGTAAGACATGGAGGAGTGCTGGGGAATTACTTACTGACTAGGTAATGTTTTAGTTAAAAGGCTATATATTTTCTCACCAAGTGGTCTGGAGATGATTTTCTCCTCACCAACTAAATCAATAACATCCCTCACTGGATGGGAAAATAAAAAGGTTATTATGCTGCAAAGACTAGAGTGGCATTGTTCAAACTTTTCAGGCCTCATTATTGTTATTATAAGATTTTCTAAATGTCAGCGATTACAGAGCTGTCATCTTGCCAATTGAAGGAAATATTAGTTTAACAGTCTGATAAATACACCGGACAAGAAAAACTTGATTGGTATTTCCCTAAGATTAATAAAAAGTCCAATATATTGCCCGCCATGTGTTGGCCAGCTCTCTATAACAGAGGAGGGCCCTGTCATCATGGAGAATAAATAGGCTTTAAAGCTCAGCAAAAGAAAACAAAGACACCAAAAGAACCACGTAACAGAGGACGAACCAGTTGGACCAGTTTAAGTTAAATACTGATTTAGAGCTGGTGAGCTGTTAAACAGGTAGAAACCTTATTTGTTCAAACTGGAGGGAGAATTAAGGTCAATCTCTCTTTTACCTGCATTATTTCCAAGACAAAGGAAGGGAATTTAAAGAATAGAATAGAAAGAAGTGGTACAATGAACTAAAGTAGGACAGTAGGCTTTCCCACATGGCCTCAGGTTGGGGCAATTCAATCTGCCAGCTACACAGCACACAGCCAGAGTCCAGCACCACAAAACGATGATCTCATCTCCTCAAAATGTGTGACCCAGGCCTGGAGACCTCCCCTATAGCTTGAACACACACACACACACACACACACACACACAGTGACACACACACAGAGACACAACACACACACACACACACACACACACACACACACACACAACACACACAACACACACACACACACACAACACACACACACACACACCCACACAGTTTCCACTACTGTAACCTTATCCAGCTTCCAAGACAAAAAATATATAAATAAATAAAATCCTTCTTGTCAAAGTAAAAATTCCTCCATTTTGGTGAACATATCTAAAAATAGCATTCTACGCTCCTTATATGAAGCCTTGGCTGGAACTTGTCAGGAAGGGACCAGGAGAGGTAGACTCTTTGTGTGGGGAGAAACTGCAGGGAACATAATTTCAGAGGAGTTATTGCTTCCTCTGTAAAGCCACTTTTGTTTCATGTCAGCCATCTTATGAGCAGACTGCAGAAGCTGGCGGGTGTTGTCAAAACAGAATCTTTTCACATAAACTAACTAGAAGGGTCTCTTGGCACATAATATTGTGGAAAATTGTTAAAAGCAACTGCCTCTGCTTATGCTTTAACGTTTCTAGGTGAAAATGTAAATTTAGATGCAACAATGCTGCCAGGAGAATATGCGCAGCTGTTCAATAGGATGACTGACCGGTCAGAGATGGAATCCAACCTCCACTTCCACCACTGACCAGACCAGCAAAGACCGAACCCGTCTCCCTGTCTGCCCCTGCAACCACAGCTCTAGACTGGGCTAACACACACACACACACACACACACGCACACACACACTGCATTCTGGGAGTGAACAGCAGAGTGGCAGTGTGTCTGCCAAAGGGACCAGAGCTCTGCTGATGGAGGGGGAAATCTCTCCATCCCCCCCATCCACCCCTTGCTTCAATCAGCCGTCTGGAACCAAAGACTCTGACAGACTGACACACATCAAGGGACCAACGCGGCATTTATTCAAATGTATCTGAAAGCAGCAGCAGTCCAGTGAGTGAAGGCTCCAGTACTGAGTCAGAGGGTCTGGAGACAACAGAGACATGACAGATGAGGGATACACTGTGCCTGCAAGTTGTTTAGGCAGCCCACCCTGTATTCTTGCCATCAGAAACTTGTGGCTATTTCTGTTTAAATTTGTTTTATTCCATAGTATTGTGTTTTCCTATGAAGGCACTTTTACAGAACAAGGGGTTTTCACTTTTCATCACCGTTTAGTGCTTTGAATAAACCACATTCCGCATACAGCTTTTCAGGCTAAAGGTCTATTTTTAGCCTCACTACTGCGAAATAAAACAGAAAAATATGTAAAGGGGATTTACTTCCAGGATCACGACTGAGAGTAATTAGTTCCCCACACCAAGGAGGGCTATTAAACTGAAACTGTACTGGGATTTCTGCTTTTTCTCTACATGGTATATAGGTGATTGCGCAGAGATAGGGGGCTTTCTAGTCTGATGTTTACTCTGCAGCCTCAGGCAGAACTTCATTTTATCTTTTTTCATCTCCAGTCCTTCCATATATCTAAAATTACAAACATACATCCTGATTAAATTGCTGACAGGAAGCACTCTCAAACATATTATGACCTGAGGTCACAGACTTTCATGTCAACCGGTACACCCACACACCCACACACACACTACAACATTATGGTCAATTCAGCAGAGCTAGAGCTGCAAGGGAGTCTAATAGTCCACAGTGATTAAAATATACATTATAAGTGGAGTTAAACTTCTAGTGATGGAGAACTACAATGTGAGACAACAGTCACACTGAACCATTTCTTATAACAGAGCATTAGAGTGGGAGTGATGTGAATGCTAGAAAATGACTTTGCAATAATAACCCTGCTTGAGGTCTGACCAGAGGTAAATTCTTCCATATGTGAAAGTGGAGAAGACCCCGTTTCTCATTATAGGGATGAAAAATAAATAAAATGAAGTCAACTCTGTTCTTTGCCACGTAGCTCAGGGATTAAACTCAAGCAAAAACAATACTGTGTAATAACTTACCTTTCATGATGCAACCATTTTTGGTTAAACAATGTAAAAGCTAACAGATGTCTGCATGTATTTGTATGCGCCTCTTTTGTCACCAAGCTCAACTTTTTTTAGTGAGCGCTGGATACTTAACTGTCGGCAGCATAACGATACCCTCAGTTGCCTTACAGACTCACTGGTGACGCCACGTACAGTATCTGTTTCGACATTCCTGCTAGCATACCAAGCTATTTGCCCTTACGTTTTTACAGTTCACTGATAAAACATTCAAAACTGCTGACAGGTCAGGGCAGATAAAAATAGTAGCATTTGTTTCAATAATCTGAAAATATGCATTTTGAATGTGAATGCATACGTGATGAAATATGTGTATTCGTCTGATTAGCACTGCCTTTTCCTGTGTATCAGTTGTTCACTCAAGTTAAAAGAGTCCATGTGACTCAGTTGAACAGACTGTTGGTCAGTCCATCTGTCCAGAGTCAGATCTGTGCACACTGTGGATCACAATCATCAACCAGCTGTCCTTGCACAAATATTCAACACTGCAATGACTGTAGTTCTATCATGGAATAACAATTTCTTGAATTTTGCTGATGTAGTAATGGATATTCTCCCACTAGCTATCAAAATCATTAACTCACATAAAGCTTTCTGTATCTGGCTATAGTTTCGGTTCATTCTGACCTGTCAGCGGTTGTGGAGAGCAAGTTAGTACAAGCATTTAATTTCCCAGAGAAAGCAGGAAGAGGACACGGTCACCTGACCGAAACAGCAACAAAGACATACCAGCGTTCGGTTAACAATGGTTCTGAATGAAATTCATGTTGTTCATTATTCTTACAGTCAAAAAGAGAAACCATGATGACACACGATCAGTGACCCCAAGAGACGAACATTAGCACTTCAAATAAGCAGAAACATCAGTGTTTGCTCAAATGTAAGTAGAGATAGAAAACAAACAGCACTATCTTGTCTAGATTCCCACAGCATTTTGAAAGGCAGGGGGCCATTTAAAGGGTTAAATAAAGCAACTTCCCATCCTCTTTTTCATTTCTTCTTTCTGGGTAGACCATAGGCTTTATGTTTTTACACTGCACACATCATAAGCTCCATTAGCTCAGCCCACGCACGGAAGTCCAATGAGTTTCGCAGCCTGAAAATAAGTTTGCTCAGTGCTGCATGGTATCTGATACTTTCACGGGATGTTTTATCATTCAAAACCACTGAACTACAGATAATCATTGTCCCACAAAATAATCTTAAAATACAAGTGTATTTTGCATCCTCTGCCTATGTGTGTGTGCTCTTGCATGTTGTAGCAACATGATGAGTCATTTTTGAGGAAGCGCCGTCATTGTTAGATATGACTTAATCAAAAGAGCAATGCATTCCACACCTGACTGTCGCTAGTGCAGATATATATGTAATTATTTCCATGTGACATATGAGAAAGCTAGACAATAGGCTAATGAGTTACTAACAGACTCCCCTGTTTCACTACCATAATCTATAGTAAGGTGGCCATGGTACCAGAATTTTAAACTTTGATAAAATAGTATAAAAAAATTATTTTCAATACCATCGCAAAAAGACACACACAGACACACACACACACACACAAACACATGGTATCGAACTAGAAACGTAACATAGAATCAGTTGTTTTTCAGCCGAAGTGACTGGTGGCAAAATAAACCTGTGCAATTCTGCTGTCACACGTTAACATCTTACCTCCAGGACCGGCCCCGCTCCCAGTATGGTCCTCTCCACCCCGCTGGCATAGCCCTTCTGGCTGAGCGCAGTCAGACAGTGGATCAGGAAGTTGGTACTCTGGGTCTTGCCTGAGCCACTTTCCCCAGAGATGACGATGCACTGGTTGACCCTCTTCCTGAGCATAGCATAGTAGGCCACATCTGCGATAGCAAAAATATGAGGCTCCAGTTTGCCCAGCTGGTGGTTCTCGTACATCTTGACGTACTTTGGATTGTAGATGGGCAGGAACTTGAAGGGGTTGATGGCGATGAGGATGCTGCCTGCATAGGTGTAGATCTTTTTCTTGTAAAAGCGTGTGCGAAGGTTGTTTAATATGCTGTCCTCATTGAGGACGGGGAGGTTGCAGAGATCTGCAAAGTCATCCTGTGGAGGGGGAAGGAAGCCTCTGGCAGCTAGCCGCTGTACCTCCTGCTCCTTAGTCACAGGTGGTAGGTGGACGTAATGGATAGTGCCATCACGGTTCCTCTCCTGGATCAGGGTAAAAAAAGACAACGGCTTAAATTAGCTCAACTTTTGACTGCTGGAAGTATTCTGGGTTGTTTGAATTGAACCAGTCCAAATTGTTAAGGGCATGTGCAAATGGCATTGTTGTTGTTGTTTCATATGTTGCTGAGAGGGGCGAAATGATACACTTAGCATGCGGTTAATTTACCTGCCTTTTTTGTTATATTTTTCTATCATTTGTGTGTAATTTGTTGTCAAGGTTTACTACTCATTTTCATTTCTCACTGAAAATGGCAACAAAGAGGAAGAGAGAGCAGAAGGAAGCACTATGCAATAGTCAGACTGTGGGAGGACTTTTCTCAGCGGCCCATATCGACTGAGTCTGACTGCAAAGTGAACCGTGTGTTGCCTACCTGTAGTAAGAAGTAAAAGCCCAGGCTCTGAGGGTGTTGCTCCTGGGCTTTCCGAGGCCACAGCAGAAACCTCTGTGCTGGCAGGTCTCCGGCCTCCAGCACCCACTCTTCTCCGCCACATTCCTTAACCTCTGCCAGCACATACATGCGGCCAGGGTCCAGCCCCAGTGCCGTGGCAGCGTCCGAAATTACTGAGGCCGCTGTTGCATCCTTCTGCACCCTGATGAGTAAATAAAAGCAATTACTGCGACAAGTACTTCAACAACATCACTGCAAAAACAGTAGCTGCTGATGCTCCTTTACGAGCCGCACTACTGTGGCACACTCACCAAAGGTTGCAGCAGGTGGTGGACTGAGCAGCCAACCGTGGGTAGATCTGGAGCAGGTATGAGCGGCCATCATTATCGTTAGGGTTAGCTGGCCCACCTCCCCCTCCTCCTCCACCTGCGTTCGTTGCCATGGTGGCAGCGCCATCTCTGACACTCATCCTGAGCCAGGGGGGGTGGCCTCAGCATGCCGTACCCACTGCTTCCCTCTCACCACGCAGCACCTGAAAAGGACGGGTTGATTTGATCAGTGACAAGTATTTGCACTTTTATACATCCACATTGTAATGGTGCCTGATAGCTTTTCCATATTTGCACTGGACCACAATGAAAGGAGGCTTTCCGAGGCCTCTGTAGTCAACATGAGGAATGACTCTCACACCGACAATTAGCTATCCAGTCCAACAAACATTCAGCACTAGTGTAATGCCAGTAGAAACAGAGTGAGATAGGGAACGGTTTCCAATATAAAGCATTGCAGCTTTCTAAAAGCCTAAACAATGCGTCATTGCAGCTCTGAGCAAACATTGTAAAATTCAAACAAAATAGTTGATTTTCAAACAGTCTCAAACCACATGTGAAGCTCATCCTTGGTATTTGTATTTGACCCTCTGAATTTTACTTTCTGGGTATAATGCAACTCAGCTACAGCTGTATGTCTTAGATTAGCCTAGAAAAGAGGCTCATACAAGTACATGTAACAGTTTAAAAAGATACAGGGCAGGCCTTGGAAATGAGCAACAGATCCTCTGTGAGGCCTGTGTCCTATCAAGTTATTTACTTGCTTAGACCTCTTTCTTTGTAATCAGTGGATTATCAGAAACAAGTGTTAAAACTCCTAAAACCTTATACCAAACGTTTACCAATCACCACTGAAATGTCTCAGTAATAGAGATAAGAGAAATCACATCCACAGTATCTCATGTTGTATAACACCTCAAGTAAGTGTTAATTGCTAACTGCTACACACACAAAGATGTTACTACTGCAGGCCATAATCACATGACTGTTAACAGTAAACAACTGTACATGTTCAAACTGCCTGATCGTATTTAAAGTATACAGGTTGACGTATGACACAGGAGTCAGGACAGGCTTCGTCTTTCCCACAAAATGTTTAAAGTGAATGACACAATGTTAAACTTAAAGCTAAAGTTAAAACTAAAAAGCTCAGTAAAATAACTCTTTTCTCAACTGATCCAAAAACAGAAAATACTTTCCACCTATGCGACAAGTGAATGTAACTAAGTTTTGGTTTTCCTCGCATCTAAAAATACACCTCAGTCATCAAAATAGGTCAAACTAAATTAAACTGCACTTCTATTTGAACAGAATAAAGAGAAAACTATTCCTACTGCTCTAGCGAGCACATGAGCCTGGGTACAGGGCTCAGACATAAGCATCAGAAGTGGCAGTGACTCAAATCTAATAACACTGCACTACATTGTTATCACATGAAACTTTACCGTAAGTTGCAGCTGCAGATGCTGCACAGAAATTCAACCCTTCCGCTTCATGATAGCAACCAAAACACAAACAGAGCGCACTTAGGGTAAACCACAAATGATGTAATGACAGCACATTATTCACTCTCACAGACAAGACACCTACAATAATCTACGTACAATTTGGTGGCAGGATGGCCAAGAAGTGTTCAGCAGCTTTTCACCAACACCTAATCTCTCTGTGAACCGATAACAACATTTTCTCAGCATGGCAGAGTCCCAGCACCAAAAGTCTTACGACATTACAGAGCCCCGAGCAGACGATTAAACAGAACAATGTTGAGGTTTGTTCAGTCCTTACTACGGATATCACTGATTTCCTGACCGAGGTGAAGCTGCGTTGAAGATGTATCGGGGTCTTTTATTAACTAAATCACAATAAACAAAAACAATAATGTAATTATTTAAAGTGAGACTGGCAACAGAGGGACATGAATGGCTAATCGTTTTCAGGTTTTCATTCACACCACTTGGTATACCTAATTTCTGGTTGACAGCGAATTAATCAGTAAAATCAGCTGGTGTGATTTGTAGTTGTAAGGAAAACATGCATCGTTTCATATCAAGAGTTCACATGATAATGAATTTATAGTGACATCTGACATTCGTTTTGGTTTAAATAAAAATCTATAACTCTTCCATGAACACATCCCTATCTGCAACCTGCACGTAGTTTCATCCACGTATGAGTAGCACTTTTCTGGGGCTGCCCCCTAATAGTCGACTAAACCATTAGTCGCTGGGTCGTCTTAGTTGACCCACTTTTCATTAGTTGTATAGTAACTAGGGGTGTCACGATTCTCCAAATCCTCGATTCGATTTAATTTTCGATGTTAAAGTCACGTTCGATTCGATTCTCGATCCTTTTAATATTACTATTAATTCCATTCCTTAAATGGTTAGTACTTTTTTTGGCGCCTTTTTCCTATTCTGGTTCGGGGCTTTTTATTTTGAAACCCGCTTTTTCCTTTGAAGACCCCGCGTGCGAACGCGTAGGCGCGGAGGTTGAGAGCATAGACAACACATTAAACAGAGACGTGAACATAGGGAGGATATGAAACACAACAGAATTTGATGCGATGTGACATTGCTGTTCCAGCGCACTCCGAACGAGACCCCGAACGCTCTAGTGTTCCTGGAGATATGCTTCGTTTATCAATTGCAGTCTTAAGCCTTAAAGTCATTTGACTGTAACTAGATCATTTTTCACTTGTTCAGTTGACTCAGGCTAAGTTAGGGGGGTATAATGTCAATGTGAATGAACGACAAAGCATACGCTTCCACCAGCCGCTGGTGATTTGCTCAGAAGCTAGCCGAAGAGCGGCTTCGATTCTCGTTCGGGGGCGGGTCGAGTGCCTTCTGTGGTTTCTAACGGCTCGCAGCCTAAAATTCAGGAGGAGTGTTGACGCCGCAGTTCAGCACGTGTGTGTGTTTGAACTAAATGTTCAGACTCTGGTTGTTACGACACATTCAGAATCATTACCATCAACCGTCTGCTGTCAGGATTTAACAGGCGGCTCATAAAAGATAGATACGTATTCCAATAATGAAATAATATAAACTAAAACTAGTCAACTGTTGGCTTTAACTGACGACTACTAGTCACAAAGAAAATTTGTAGTCGAGAGCAGCTGTACACTTATCCACAGCAGAATCTACTGTACAGTAGTTCATGTACATCAGTACAGAATAATGCAACAAGGCTAACACTGCTCTGTAATTATCCTTCAAATCATTGTACAATCATACTTCTTCATACAACTGCACTCAAATTACTGACAGTGTCATTTGCTGTGGTTACTTTGCCAGACTGACATGATGTCAGCTTTACATCATCATCGTTGAACAGAAAGCCAACATCACTGATTCATTTAAAGGCAGCTCTCTGAAGTAGCGCTCAGGTATCTCAGGACTGATTTCAGTAGAAGATCCAGCTGGACAACAGCCAGAGGAATATGAGCCAGGTTAAGGCGGTCTGTAACACAAAATGAATGCAGAATAGTGATCTACAGTTGAGTGTGAATCACATAGACAGCAGCTGGTTTAAGTTTGGTCTAATGATGGATCATGTAGCATGGCTCTGCATCAGTAATGCATGCTATGTAAACTGTAAGTCCCCCTTGAGGAAACAGGAACCTGGTTTAAATCACTGTATGGCAGGCAGACTGCACTGCTTTGGTAACCTGATCCCGGGTCGAGTCCCGTAAGCACTGAGACCTACGGTTTATCACTTTTATCATTCAGGCAGAGACAGTTTATTTTTTCAACCTGAAAAATAAGACACGTTACAGTCTGAGATATGCCCAAAAGCAGGCTGAGGGGAAAGAGGCTCTCGCACACGTCTGCATGCATTGTGAAATCAAATTCTCCATTCCTCCATTATTAGGTTTGTTTTCACTAAAACTTTCCACTGATATTACCAATCGTCCTCGTGTGTCCTGTGGAGTTATCATGAATAACACACACAGACAATCTAATAAGTAGCCATTTTACAACTCAGTAATGACTCAGATAAAAGGTTAACGTGCGACATATATAATTGCATAATAGTGGCAAAGATAATTTTCTATCTCTTCATCTGCTGCTTATGATGATTAAAGTAAATAATCACAAACAGTTTCACACAACAATTCCTGTGTTTAGAAGAAATTAACAGCTGCTTAAACAACAACAAGCAAACCACATGGTGCTGCTAATAACTGGTTGGTGCATCTAGCCAATATATCTGGAACTGCCTTAATTGATCTGCATTGTTCAAGCCTGTTTTCAGATGCAGTTTTCTTTTTCTTTTTGTGTTTAAGTTTCTGTTTGTACATATTTATAAAAAAGCAGTCATAGGAATCTGTAGTTTGTGAAAACATCACTACATAGTATAATGGACCAAATACAAAACTACAATAAATATATCTCAGCAAAGCCAACTCTGGAATCATTTAGGTCACAGTGGAGAATTAGAGGAAAAATAGAGCAACTTGAGACTCATGAGCTTGTGCATTTGCCAGGCTAGCTGACCACAGTCCCAAAAACATGCACGACTGTAAAATGCCAAGGCATGCAAAACTGCAGAGACCACAAAAGACAGCATCATCATTATCCTATCATGGGCCCTGTCTGGTTTAAATCTGTCACTTTAACTCCTGAGCTGCTCTCTCAACTAGTTTCAAAAGAGGAAAAAAAACAACAACACAAAGCTACAGTATCTGTGACGTAAATCATTTATTCTCGGTTTACACGGAGAGAAAAAAAAAAAGGCAGGAAAAAAAGGTAGTCAGAGAAAACTGAGGAAAGAAAAAGAGAGGAAGGCAGAAGGACACAGAAAGGTAAACATCTAAAAGTGAGACAGAAAAGAGAGAAGTCCCAGGGGATAATCAAAGGAGGCGGAGGCTTTGAGATAATGCAACTTCCTCCCTGTGGAGGAGATCCTCGGCATTCCACAGATAAGACCCGGGGTTGTCTGCTCTGCGGAGGCTTAGCCTGGCACTTTAGCTGCTTACTGTGGGTTGATGGGGAGCCGCTGGAGCACATCTACTGCTGCTGGTAGAGAGGGGCTATAGAACTGCTTACTGTGGGCAGGAGGGGGCATTAACAACTAACAAGATTTCCTTAAAGGCGGCCCCGCTCATCCCCACTGGACTCACTGACCTCACATTATCCAGTCAAGGAGAACAGGCTTTCCCTAAATTAATTCTACTGCACATTCATCAGCAAGATGAGT